ACGTGGCTGACGTCCTGCCCTGGTCCTCACTGGCAGGCCATCTGCACACACACGGTTTGCTGGTCATCCGTCAGCCCCTTTCATAGCTGAGACACTGAGGCCATAAGGAGAGGGCCTTGCTGAGGGTTCTGGGCCTGAGGGGAACCTAGTCACTCAGTGCCAGACCTCCGTTTCCCCTTCTTTGACACGGGATGTGGCACTGGCCTCTGGGGCCTGCTCCCCTGTGCTGGGCGTTGGTGACAGGAGGGAGGCTGACATTCAGAGAGGAACCTGCAGACTGCGGGTCCGAGGGGACAGGGTGGCCACCACCCCTGGGAGGGTCGGGAGGCTCCCTGAGGATTCAGGCCTGAGCGAGCCCATACCCAGGTGGCACACATAGTGGGTTCTTTCCGACAATGGCAGGCTGGGGGCCCAGGTCAGGGCAGGTGCCACCATTGGGCTCCCAAATCATTGGTGTTTGCAGCCAATACCGTCTCTGTCAGGGGGCTGGGATTGACACAAGCACAGGGCAGAAGGCCTCACCTGGTGCACACCTCCAGGGTCACCTGGTACTCCTGGTGATGCAGGTCGGCTGCTGGGTCGTCATCGTCAGCTGAGGATGCTGGTGCCGGGGGCCGGGGCCGCTCAGCCTCGGGCTCCAGGAGATTCACGAACAGCTGGAAGGACGGTTTGGCCACCGGGTCTGGCACATTGTAGCTGACATCAATCTGGGGGGTGAGAAGACCGAGTCTGGGGGCTCTGGGAGTGTGTGTGTGGGTGGGGGGGCAAGGCAGGGACAGGTGGGAGAGGCCAGGATGACGATGACAGTGACATTAGCAATGGTTCTGGGGACTACGGTTACCCCATTTAGCCTTGAAATGCCCAAAGCTGTTCAAACAGACCACCATCCCTTTTTCACAGGCCTCAAGCCAGGTCTGCCCGCCTCCAGGACTCTCTTCTACCTCCGCTGAGACCACGGTGCCATCTGGGCTCCCATTTTAGAGATGGGAAGGCTGAGGCTGTGAAGGTCCCCAGACAGACTTGCCTTCTCCCCACTCTCCAGAGCCCGTGAGGCCATCCTGCCCCAGCCCAGAGCTCAGCTAAACCTCAGGACCTGGTGACAAAGGGGCAGTAGGGAGGGCCAGGGGGAAGCCAGTCAAATGGATCTTTTTGGAGGGACTGGACACCCAAGGGGACACGTGGTCACCTTCGTTGGGCCCTGCCTTGGGCAGGGTGGGCTGCATATGGGGTGCTGACAGTCTGTCCTGGGGTCTCTCTCACATACCCACCCCGCATGCTGAGCTCAGAGCTGCGGCCCACCCCTCCCAGGGTCCCGGGTTCCAGATGCCCCTGTGAGCACCCTCACCTGCATCAGGCAGCAGCCTTCACCCTTGGCGCTCACAAACAGCCCGGTGGGGAGGCTGGGGATCTGGGGAGAGAGGACACCGTGATCCCCCCGCAGACACACATGGGTGGGCAGGCAGCTGCCCCGACTCCCAGCCCTGGGAGCACTCACCACGGCTGTCTGCAGGACCTTCTGGTTGGCCCTGTGCAGCTCGAAGGTCTCCTGGTAGTCCAGGTTGGTGGAGGCCAGTGAGATGGTGAGGTTGACGCTGCCAGCGTAGGACAGGATGGCATACTCTGCCAAGGCCTGCAGAGCCACACAGGTGTCCTGGGGACAGAAGGGGAGGCTGCCCTCAGCGCCACGACCAGGCTGGCCAGCGGCCCCTCGGCTCCCCGTCCTGGACGGTGCTGACCCTGCCCAGACCCGAGCCCCTTTCCTGGCCCTGCCCAGCTCACCTGAGTGGAGGAGAAGCCCCCCAGGGCGTTCCGCTGCTGGGACAGCCACTTCACCACGGGCAGGGCCGTGGCCACGTCGCCCAGGAGGGTGTAGGTCAACAGGGCGTAGGCCGTCATCTCCACATCCGCTGAGACCACTGCAACGGGAGAGGTGGCCGCCAGGACCCAAACCCCAGGGCCCACGGCAGGCAGCGGGGGAGGGGCTGGCAGTACCTGCCTGGGGGACCCCGTCGCTGAAGCTCAGGAAGGTGTCCTTGCCCCGATCCTGGGAACCCGTCAGGCTCCAGTGGGTGACCCCGTCTGCAAGGCCAGGACGGATGAGGGCCACACCCCAGGGCGTTCAGCCTGGCAACCCGGGGTGGGCATCAGGGCACGTGGTCTCAAGAAGAGACCCAAAGACTGGGCCCCAGTGGGGGGAGGGTGCCCCGCAGAGATGTGGGGACAGGAAGGGCCTTGGGGCTGTCTCAGATCCGGCAACTACGTGACAGACCCCGCCTTCCTGTACCCCTGGCGGCATCACTAACCAATGGCCTCCCTCCTGGCTAAGCCCTGATGTGTCCCAGGAAGCCACTCCCCACTTGCAAAGGCTCCTTCCCGTGAGCTGTAAAAGGCCCTCAAACCCTGAACAAACCAGGCACCCCCGCCCCCCATCCCTGCATTTAGTCCCAAATAGACACCAAGCAGCCAGCTGGCTGCTCTCAGAGTTTTGCTTTCTAACTTTTTCCCCCTTAAGTAGCAAAAACAACTTTCCAGGGGATGTCTGGAGCAGAAAAGCCAGGGTGGCGGCTCAGCCCCAGTGCGGCTGCTGGGAATATGGGGGGAGGCGGGCGTGGGGGCAGTGACGGGGAGGGGACTCGGTGTGGGGGCGTTCAGAGAGGTCACAGGTCAGTGGTGACTGGCACTCCCGGACACAGGGGGTAGTCATTTTGTAGTTGGGGAGACTGACACCCTGAAGACAGAACGGCCGCCTGAAGCTCACCCAGTGATGGGGGCGGGTGAGGACCAGCCCCTGCCAGGGGTGATTTAAGGAAGCCCGGGGGACCCTCTGCTGGGGATCCCTGAGCAGTGTCCTCCCTGGTGGGGGGTGGGGGTCAGTGTTCCCTATTTCCTGGGGGGAGAAAGTGATGCGCAGGCTCAATCCACGTCATCAAATGACGTCACTAGGAGATGCAACAAACAAAATCAAGTGAGCACGAGATGCCTCCTTATTCCCGTCGCATGCGTTCATGCACTGTTCCCTGGGGTGGCAGGCGCGGGACACCTACCCTGCGTGATGGCCAGGCTGCGGAGCTTTCGCAGGGCCACGGCGGCTGCCGGGCTGCGGAGCAGGGTCAGCGCGTAGGCAGTCAGGGCGCTGGTGTAGGGGTCCGAGGCCAGGGCTACGCTGGACTCCAGGAAGCGCCGCGCTCTGGCAATGGCACCCCTCTCCTCCTGGGGGAGGGGGCGTGGAAAGTGCAGCCCTGAGAGATCACTCTGCCCCAACCCACCCCCCACCCAGCACCCCCACCTGCGTGCCAGGGGACAGCGCTGGATGGCTCACAGCCCCTTGCTTTTCTGTTGGTGCCAGCATTTCCCGAATGAAGTCCGGGCACAGCAGATCAACCCAGAGGAGCTCTGGGGACACAGGCAGAGCGCTGGCCGCCCACCCACCGCCCCTCGTCACCACGCTGGCCTCTGAGACCCACTGCTCGGCTTTTCTCAGCTTCAAGGCCTCGAATCAACGGTCGCCTCCTCCAGAGAGTCCACCAACCCTGCTCACACCCACCCCCCACCCACCCCCCCAAAAAAAGGAGGACGGAAACCCAGTTTATTGTCCAGTGATGGGCTAGGTTCAGGGAAACTGCCTCAAAATAATGGTTAAATGGAGAAATGAGTGATTGGAAGCATTTAAGAATTAGCAAATGAGCCACGTGTTCCCGCGGGCACCGGGGGAGCCGTGGAGTTAAGCTGACTCTGCTTTAGCGTCATGAAGATCGCAGAAGGCAGCTAGCTCTCCCCAAGCTTCCCATCTTCAGACCAGGACAGAGCGTGGGGGCTGCTGTGAAGGTGTGGTGTCCAGATGCAGTTAGCGTCATGAAGATCACAGAAGGCAGGCTCTCCCCAAGCTTCCCATCTTCAGACCAGGACAGAGCGTGGGGGCTGCTGTGAAGGTGTGGTGTCCAGATGCACCCTGTACCTTCCGGGGCAGGCGCCAGGGATGACACAGCAGGGGACCCAGACCCGGGCCTGGCCCGCACAGGCCAGCAGGGGGAACCCCTCCCCCGTTCCTCCCGCCTGATCTCTCAGGCCCCTGCGCTCACCTCCGAGGCCACATCCGTCTCCAGAAGCGCAGCCACCACATAGGCCGTCAGCGGGACTGCGCCATGGATCCCGCCCTGCAAGAGGATTCTCGGCCTCACTCCGACCAGAGGGGACACCCCTCACCGCACGGCCCGGCAGCACCGGGAGCAGGCAGGGCAGGGCCAAGGGACCGAAAGGAGGCCCGGAGGCCGCTCACCTGGATGTCCTTGTTCAGAATCCTGCCTGTGGCTGGGAAGGAGCCGTCCACCTGCTGTTGCCGCACGATCCAGCCCTTGGCGGCCGCCAGCTCCCGGGGGTCGATGAAGATGAAGCTTCGCGCCTGGGCAAAGGACTTCAGGACAAAGGCTGTGAGCCTGAAACAGGACCAAAGGGGCCGGGAGGTGCAGAGCAGGGTCGCCTCCCACGTGCCCGCTTAGGGACTGGGGGATGCTCACTTCCTCATCGGTTAGACAGGTGAGCCCAGTCTGCCCGTCCGGGGCTGCTGAGAGCACTCGGTGGAAGTGTGTGGGCACCCAGCTGGCCCAGCGATGGAGCCCAGTCTCCTTGCCAGACCCTCTCTCTCCAGCACCCAAGCCTTCCTACAAACTGGTCCAGTCCCACCTCCCCTACCATGTGCATCAATGGTAAAACTAAGAACGTGGCCTGGCACACAGGAGCACCCGCTAAGTGACCAAGTGAATGAACGAATGAATGAATGAACGTGAAATGAATGCATGGGTGCACAGGAAACCATCTGTAACTGATCCCGGGTTTTAAGGCTTCGAGGCTGGATCCTCCCAGTCAAGTGTTTAGGGAGAAGCACTGAGAGAGTGTCCGTCCCGATGGATACCCGGCTCTGTGCTGAGCACGCCCACATCCTATCCCACTGTTTCTTGGATCCCGGTCCTGGATGTAGAGTGAGGAAACAGGCTCAGAGAGGTTGGGCACCTGGTCTAAGGGCACACAGCTCACAAGAGACACAGCCCCGTTTTCCCAGCTGCAGGTGGATGCTGCTGCCGCTGCCTGTGCTTCCTGTAGCCTCATCCTAAAGGGCTCTTCACAGGGGAGGGGGAGGGAGAGGCCTCTGAGTGTCACGTCGCAACCACAGTGGACCTGGTCTTGCTCACTGTGTGCCTGTGCACAGGGGAAGGTGTGTGATGAGTCACAGCTCACTGTTTCTGACCGGCGGAGGCCCCTGGGGGCTGCTGGGGCTTGGCCAGCTTCTGAAGAAGGAGTCAATGGCTCTGGCCACCCGGGGGCGGTGTTACTGTGGCCGTGCATCAAGGGCTTTCAGCAAGACAGGGCCCTGGGACCAGAACTGGGACAGTAGACAGGCTGCTGGGGGATGGGAGACTGGGCAGGTCACCAAGCGTGGGCCCCTCTGGAGCCACATGAGCGACTCCGTCACCGCAGGGCTCAGCCAGGCGTGTCCCATTGCCCCGGGCCTAGGCACCGTGGTTGTGCAGTGGACGCTGTCGGCTTAAGGACAGGGCATCTCCACACCCACAGCTGCTGCAGGTGCCACCAGGCTGGTGCTTTGGGAGGAGGCCTCTGGGGACAGTTGGGGGTGCCCTACAGTCTCTGTAAGCCCCAAAGTGGCCGGGGCAAATCCACAGACTGTTATGGTCCGAGGATCCCAGGGAACAAGACCTGGGTCTGCCCAGCCCCCCACTGGGCCTGCCCTGGTCACTCCAAAAGTCAGAGGGAGCCCCTTGCCAGGGAAACTGGATGCCAGGCCATTCCTCCCGAGCACCTGACCCAGACCTCTCCAGCCTTCCCTTCCTGCTCGGGGTCCCCATCCTCAGGTCCAGGGGGCCCGAAGGAGGCCCAGAGTGCCCAGACCTGTTCCCAAAAGGCCGGAGAACCGGGGGCTCCGTGTCCAAGGAGCTCCAGTCCCAGGGGCTCCGGGTCCCAGGGGCTGCGGCCACAGCAGCAGAAAGAGTAACAGTAGCTCCCACCACCCCCACCACACCCAGGGCCAGGCAGAGTCTCCACTTGCCAGGCAGGCTCCTTGTCACCCTGGGGTCAGGCCCCGAGTCCTGGCCTCGCCGTGCTGGACGAGGCCCTCTGTGGCAGCGCCGGGCGTGGGACTCACCACATGCTCCCTGAGGCGTCCCGCTCCCCGAAAGCACTGTAGGCGCCATCCCGGTGCTTATAGGTGAGCTGCCGCTGGTAGCCTGTGGGGCAAGCAGAGGTGAACGCATCCTCTGCTGAATGGCCTGGCCCGGGCCGGCCCATGTCCCACCCTGGGAGCCACAAGCCATGCCACAGCCACATCGGGGATCCTTGAAACTGCCCCATCACAGCAGGGCTGGCCAATGTGCACCATCTCGGGGCGACGCCCTCTGTCCCCAGGAGTAGGGACTGCTCCGCCCGATGGAGGCACCACAGTGACCAGAGCAGGAGAGCGACGGGGACAGGAGGGAAGGAGGGAGGGAAGTCAGGCAACTACGGGGGCCTCCAAGCTGGGCATCAGGTCTTATTGCGAGGCCAGCAGGGGGCATGGGCAGTGCAAGCCCTGCAAGCGATTACAAATTGATCAGATCATGAGACTCAGAAATTCCACTCCAGCGATCTTCCGCATGTCTTTACCCAGCCCAGGAATGGGACCATGTGTGCAGCACCATCTAAAAGTCCCGAGCTGGAGACTGCCCCATGCCCATCAACACGCACATCGTGGTCCCTCTACACAGCAACGGGAGGTGAAAGGACCCCGCGTCCCCCAGCTCAGGGAGCGACTCTCTCTCTCTCTCTCTCTCTCTCTCTCTCACACACACACACACACACACACACACACACACACACAGCGCAGGCAGGCTCACACTGTGGATGCCCTGGTCAGAGCGCCAAGAGCAGAAAGCTAATCTGTGCTACTCAGGGCAGGAGAGTAAACCCAGATCCAACTCCGATAATTATAGGACTTTTTCTATTCTAAATGTTTTTTTATAATATTACTAGAGGCCCGGTGCACGAAATTCGTGCACAGGAGGGGTCCCTCAGCCCAGCCTGCACCCTCTCCAATCCAGGACCCCTCAGGGGATGTCCGACTGCCGGTTTAGGCCTAATCCTAATTGCTCACCTGCCTGCCCGCCTGATCGCCCCTAACCATTCTGCCTGCCTGCCAAATCACCCCTACCTGCTCTCCCCTGCCAGCCTGATCACCCCTAACCATTCTGCCTGCCTGCCAGATCGCTTCTACCTGCTCTCCCCTGCCAGCCTGATTGCCCCTAACTGCTCTCCCCTGCCGGCCAGATCACCCCTAACTGCCTCAGCCCCCACCACTGTGGCTCTGTCTGGAAGGACGTCTGGAAGATATCCAGTCTACCCAGTCTAATTAGCATATTACCCTTTTATTAGTATAGATTATATTGCTCTTGTTGGTTAAAAAAAAAAATCTACATTTTTAAAAGATGCTGTTCTTTCCCCTGGCTGACTACCAGCACTCAGAGCCTTGTCCTCACAGGTGTGGACCGAGCTCCTGCTGACAGTGGCCGATCAGGCCACCGGAGTGGCCTCACTCAGCCACTTCTTTCCCTCCCCCCATCTACTGTGCCTGGCGTGCGGGCCCCCCCGCAGTCATGGCTGCCTTCCTCCCCACACCCTCAACCTCGGCAGTTCCCCCAGTACCTTGTACCAGGTGATCAGTCGTCTCCCTCTCCACTTCGGGGCTGAGCTGCCGGGTTTTCTGAAGATACTTCAGGACAAAGACGTTGGGCGCAAAGTGGATCATGTTTTGCTCTCCACAGCCAAAGGGCAGCCGCAGGAGGCTGCTGAGGTGGCTCAGGGTGGGCCCCATGACGTCTCCTGGGGAGAAGGAAGGAGGGCTGGGCTGGGGGCCGGCCTTGCCAGGGTCCTCGCTGTCTTTGGGGTAGCTTTGCAGAGGTGGGAGCCCACCTGTGGCCTAACAGTGGCCACCCCCACCTCCGAATGCTGGTGCTGCCATTTGAAACTGGACTGCACCCTGTCCAGTCAGCCCACCTGATCTACCAGCTCTGGTGGCCACTTCATACACACCTCCCTGTGTTCCTTAGCTTGAACTCAGGTGTTCTTTCTCTGCTTTTTCATTACACTAAATGCTTTTTGCTTTCTGGTTTTTTAAACAGGTACATTCAAGGCTATGAATTTCCCTCAAAGTATGATTTTACTGCACCTCACAAATAATAATGCATCAATACAGCCATTTAGAATTCTAAATCATTCTAAATATTTTTTCTAACTTTTAATAAAAAAGGTGATTTTTAAAAATTGATTTTAGAGACAGAGAGGTAAGGAGAGAGAGCAAGAGAAAATCAATTTATTTTTCCACTGATTTATGCATTCATTTGTTGATTCTTTTTTTAAATATGCTTTTATTGATTTCAAAGAGAGGAAGAGAGATATAAACATCAATGATGAGAAAGAATCATTGATTGGCTGCCTGCTGCACATTCTCTATTGGGGATCGAGCCTGCAACCCAGGTATGTGCCCTGACAGGGATTGAACTGTGACCTCCTGGTTCATAGGTCAACACTCAACCACTGAGCCACACCAGCTGGGCCATTGGTTGATTCTTGTATGTGCCCTGACTGATGGAACCCACAACCCTGGCTTATGGGGATGCTGCTCTAACCAACTGTGCTACACAGCCAGGGCAGTATTTGGATTTTTAATAAAAGTTTCCATATATGTCGGTGCATTTTTAATTTTTTTTCTTTTACTTCTGGTCCTTATTCTCATCCCTTCAGCACTGTGTCTTCCTCTTCTTGGCCTCTCTGTCCCCAAAATTGCTGAGGGGCCCTCCAGAATCCCCACTGTCCCCTGCTCGCACCTCCTTTCCTTCCTTGGCCTTTCCTCCTGTCCCACTGCAGCTGCCACTGCTCCTGCGGCCTCCTCCGTGGTGGGGCTGCCCGGCTACTTTCTCATCGACCCCCTCTGGGTTCCCCGCTTCCTCTCTGCCCTCTGCCCTCTTGTGTGGAAGGCACTGGCACGCGGGGCCAGCCTTCCCCTCCTCTCCATCTCGGCCCACGTGCCTCCTCACCTACACCCTTCACCTCCATTTGGGCCACTAACCCTCCCAGCCACCTCTAACTTAACCTTGTACTTCAGAAATCATCAACTCCAATATCTTCTGATGCAGCCACAGCCATCAACCTCCCTGAGCCCCAGGGCTTCCACTCTCTGATGTCAGAGACCTAAGACCCCTCAGTCAGGTCTGTCTGCCCCCTCCTGGCCTCTCCTCTTCTCCCCACCCTTCCAGCTCCCAACATTAGATGGATCACACAGTGCCTACTTCCCACTCCCATGCCTGAGCTACAGAAGACAATCCACAGCCCTAGAGACTCCGGTCACAGCCTCTTGCCCCTGTTCAGCCAACGTTCTAGATGCCTGCCCCTCTCACCACGACCCCCACTCCCCTCCCTGTACCTGGCTGGTTTCACCTGGCCGTTTGGCCTTCTTTGCCCATCGCCCCAGCTCCGTTGCCCCTGGAGTTTATCACCTGTCCCTTGGGGTCACCCTACACAGGGCTTGGACCGGGTAGGTTGGACCTGCCTTCTCGGCCAGACAAGGAGCTCCTCAAGGGTAGGGTTGGGATCACCTCTGGGACTGTCCCCAGAGCCCAGCATGGAGAAGGCACTAGAAACTACTTGTCAGGTGAGAGTGGGGGTGTGGCTGGAGGCCCCGGGGGCACAGGTTCCCAGCAGAGCCCAGTGTGACCTGAGCCTGAAGTAGCCACCTGGCCCTCGGGCTCCTGCCCCATCCTCCCGAGCCAGGCTGCGGAGCAGACACACCTATGAGGGAAGCGGCCGCCCGCTCCGAGCCAGGGATGGCGCTGTGTGGGACCCCCAGGGTGAAGGCCTCGCTGTAGCTCTCATCCACCTCCATCTTCCTCCAGATGCGGAACTCGCCCATGGAGCCCCAGCCGGTGGAGAAGCCAATGAACTGGACGTCTGGGGCCTTGGGGAGGGTCCAGGTCATGATGACAGACTCGTTGGATGGCTCTGGACCATACCCAACCTGCAAGAAAGAGGCCAAGGCTGCTGGAAGCTGGAAGAAAGCACGCAGTGGCGCTCAGGCAGCAGCAACACTGGCTACAGGGCCAAGGTCAGAGAAGCCAGAGGTTATCCTATCCATTGAATGGCTAACAGAGACACAAGCATGGCATCCACAGGTTCCGAAGTGACCAGGCTCCCTGGAACCTCTGGGCCTTTGCACGTGCTGTTCCCTCTGCCTGTTCCCTCTGCCAGGAACATTCTTCACCCTGGTTTGCCCAGTGGCCTATGTCCCTCCTCTAGGAAGCTGTGTTAGCTGTTCTTTTCCTATGGCCCCCCTCCTTGGATCAGAAAGTACCCTGAGCCCCTTTTGGACCTGTTCACATCCACTTTCTTTCTCCCTAACCACCCACCACCACTCAGCTCCCAGATTCCCAGGCGCTTCCTCTGCCGTAGCTCTCACCGCAACTCCAGGAAGACTGTGAGAAACTCGAGGTGCCGCCCTGTGTCCATCCTCCCTCCTCCCCAGCCCTCCTCAGAGCCACACACAGAGCGGGAAGCAGTAAAGGTCAAAGAACCACGCGGTTCCCATGCCCAGCCAGGCCAGCCCAGCCGTGCCTGGATGAGCCCGCCGTGCCAGCTGATCCAAAACGTTCGGAACTCATCCCAGGAGAGGATCTTGGCCGTGTGTGTGCCGGCCACGGGCTCGCCCATCTTGCTGGTGGAGATCCAGGACCTGGTGTTCTGGTGTCCCCCCAGGACGATCTCAGTCATCCCCGCGGTGTCTTGGGGCCCGGGGGACAAGGCCACGCGGGCGTCGTTGTGGGCTCGCACGGCCAGGTCGAAACGAGTGAGGCGCTGTGGCCGCTGCACGTACTGGAACTCGTACTTGTTGGGCGTGGAGATATGAACTCTCTCTGGATGGAGGAAAGGAAGAGGGGGCATTGTGGGTCGCCTGAAGGCCCCCGCCTCCCTGTGCCTGCTCCTGGAGCCGAGAATTGGGACAATGGGGAGTGGGTCTCACTGTGGCTCGGCCAGCAGCTGCAGAGGCATGGCTGCTGGCGGCTTAACGACGGCTGTGCCAACAGCACAGGATAGAAGAAGTGCTCTCAGGGATACTTCCTGCAAAAGATGCACAAGACCTGTACCCTGGGAACTGGAAATGCTGCTGAAACTAAGGAAGACCCAAGTCAGTGGGGAGCCAGATATGTTCGTGGGTCTGAAGACAATATTTCAAGATACTAATCTACAGATGCGATATCATCCCAACAAAACCCCAGCAGGGTCTTTGGAGAAATTGCAAAGCTGATTCTACATGGAAATGCAAGACCTAGAAGAAGCAAAACAACTTTAATAAGAAAGAATAGAGCTGGAGGACTCACCCCATACGACACTGAGACTCTAAAGCTACAGGAATAGCCTGGCTGGTGTGGCTTAGTGGTCGACCATCACCCTATGAACTAGGAAGTCATGGTTTGATTCCCGGTCAGGGCACATGCCTGGGTTGCAATCCCCCCGCCACCCAGTAGGGGGCATGCAGGAGGCGGCCAATCAATGATTCTCTCTCATCGATGTTTCTATGTCTTTCTCCCTTCCTCTCTGAAATCAATAAAAAAATCCGCCTCCTGCACACCCCCCCACTGGGGATCGAGCCCGCAACCCGGGCATGTGCCCTTGACCGGAATTGAACCCAGGACCCTTCAGTCCACAGACTGACACTCTATCCACTGAGCCAAACCAGTTAGGGCAAAAATATATGTATTTTTTAAAATTCTCAAAAAAAATAAAATAAAGCTACAGGAATCACAAGAGTGTAGCTTTGCTGTCAACATAGACAAATCCTCAATGGAACAGAACAGGGAGTCCAGAAATAGACACACACATGTCTGAACAACTGACTTTCAACAAAGCTGTGAAGGCAATCCCACAGAGAAAGAAAAGTCTTTTCAAGAAATGGTGCTAGAGCCCTGGCCGGTAGCTCAGTGGGTTAGAGAGAGAGAAACTTACTTGTTGTTTCACTTATTTATACATTCATTGGTTGATTCTTGTACATGCTCTGACAAGGGATTGAACCCACAACCTTGGCATATCGGGATGGCGCTCTAACCAGGCATAATGCTAATTTAAGGGGCGTCAAGGTAGACCCCAGACCCCCACCTTCTGGAACTCACTTTAATTTCCCATGTCCTCCTCTGCTGCACCAAGATCTGGGTCTCCCTAATTCCTCAGTGTCACTCTAACACCCCTTCCCTAGACCTTGGGCTCTACTCCTGCCCACAGTCACTTTTCTCATTGGCATGGACAGTCTGTAATTGCGTACATTCACTTCCTGTGTGGCAGGTGCCCAGCCCTCACTCTGGTTTATGGTTGTCCCCAGACAGAACATCTCAGTTCTCTGCTGCTGGGTCCTCAGCCCCCAGGGAGGGTGGCTGTCTACTTAGCAGCTGGAGAGCTGCGACACTGCAGGGGTAAGGGCCGGGGACTCACCGTTGGGACAGAAGAAAGCACTGTAGGTGTACGTGCGGGGAGCTCCTTCGGGCTGAAACAGAGAAATGGGGGAAACAGTGTTGGCTGGCAGTCAGGAGAGGGTGCAGTGCCCTCCCAGGGCAGCGGCTCCAGCTCTGGACACTGCAGGGTGATGCTAACCTCACAGGTACACAGACAAGGACTGGGCTGCCCACCTCCCAGGTGCAGGGGGGGAAACTGAGGCTCCCGCCCCCTTCCCTGGGCTCTAGTCAAACAAACTCACCAACCAATCCTGGACTTGTCATGCTCCCCACACCCCCACTGGCCCTCCTGGCCACCCTCTTCCACCGGCTGCCAGCCCAGCGTCCCTCTCGGGGTGGAGAGCACTATGCCGTGAAGGCTGCCGTGACCTAAGGCCCCACCTGACGTCCCTCAGCACCCAGAAGGGGAGGCCTGCATCTGCCAAGCACAGATTCCCCTTCCCACTGTCTGCCCCAAGCACCCCTTGTCTCCTGTCTCTCCCGCTGTGCTCCCGCTCTGCCCCTTCCACACACAGCTCCCACATAGCGGGAGACAGCGTCAAAGGAGGCACCCGGAACTGAACCCAACAAATACCCCTCAGAGTTCGGTGTGACCAGCACAGCCCTGTGGGCCTCTCAACTCTCAGCACCTCTTTCATTCCACAAAACTAGTAAGCGGGGGCCACGCTTCCCTAGAGAACCCAGGCTGATTCGCCACAGCCTGCTCTGCGCCAGGAGAGGGGCCCGATGCTGCAGCCTTCTGGCGAGGGGCCCCTCACCTGTCCAGGGTCCCGAGGGCCCCCTGCTGAAAGAAACCAGGGAGTTCCCAGGGAGCCGAGCCCTGACCCGGTGCCCTGGGCGAGGGCGTGGCTCACCTCCACGATCACGCTGCGCCGGATGTTGTCCCTCCCGGCGGGGACCCTGTCGGCGTAGCTCTCCTTGGCCTGTTTGCTGGGCTTCCCGTCCCGGCAGCAGCCTGTTTCTCCGTAAGCCAGGACTTTGGCTGCAGAGATCTGAGTGCTCAGTGCTGCTCTCAGAGCAGGGAGCTGTCCTTCCCCCCTTGTAGCATACATGCACATGTATGTGTGTGTGGGCACGCACATGTGAAAGCTGCATGGTTTGTGTGTGTGCATGTGCACACGTGTGTCTGTGCATACGTGCGTTTGTGTGCATGCATGTGTGTTTGTACATGCATGCATGCACACGTGTGTGCTACACTGGTTTGGTGCCTTAAGAACCCGGCTCTAGCAGGTAAGGCCTCAAGCCCCACCCTCAGAGGCCGCCTCCCCCATGTCCTGACCATTCCCTCTGGCCTGTCTCCCCAGCTGCTGTCCTGCCCTTCAAGAGGGCCCTCACCGCACCTGCTGCCCCCCCCCCCGCACCTCGCCCATGCCTGTGGGCAGGGCCTGGGCCCCTGGGCGGCCTGGAGGGGGTTCCCAAAGAGCAGGGCCCTCACCTGTGATGTTGCTGAGCCCCAGGTCGCTGAAGGACAGGACCACCCAGATGGGCTCCGTCTCCCCAGAGGCCACGCACAGCTTCTTGGTCAGATGACGTTTGCCGGGATGCCCGACGAACCGGGTGCCCTTGGGAACGGAGATCTGCACATACACCTGCAGGGGGTGGGCTCATGGTGCCCGGAGTCTGTGTGACCCCCAGCACACCCACCACCCGCCGCCACCGTCAGCCTGCCAGCCTCCCCAAAAGCCGTGCCCTCCCTGGAAGCCCCCTTTCCAGTTCTAACCAGAACCAGTACTCACAGTGTCCCGCTGGGAGCCCCCTTCCCCCCTCAGCTCTCCACATCCCCCAGGTCTAGCTCCCCCCTCAGACCAAGACCAGTTCAAGGGCCACCTCTCCACAGCCATCGAGTGACGAGCCGCCCCCCGTGCAGGCCCCACAGAGCAGCCTCTGAGACTCTCCAACCACCGAGGTCCACAGCATCCTAACAGCTCTGCGTGCGCATGCGTGTGCACCATGTGTCTCTATAACCCAAATCTAGGACAGGCTCTTTGCTCCACATCTGCTTGTCCGGCCAGCAGATATGAAGTACCTCGTGGGTGCAGGTGCCCTGCTAGGAGCTAAAGAAACAGAACTGAGTGAACCACTGAGCCTGTGGGAGTGAGCGGGACCCGGCTGAACTCGCACACCCAGTTTATAGATAGGAAAACTGAGGCAGAATGGCTGGCAGTTTAGCCAAGCGAAAGCCCAGAGGGGCCTCTGAGGAAAGGGAGGCACAGGTGTGTCGAGACCACGCCCCAACCCCCAGCAGCCTCGGCGCCCTTCAGCTCACAAATTCCAACCCCTCCCGCGACAGACGTCCCCATTTTTCAGGAAGAGCCAGCAATCTGTTTGGGAGGAGTAATGTCTCTTGGTTTTCACAGTGTCTCTGGTTTGGGGCCACAGCTCACATCTTCTGTTGTCCATGTGAAATCAGCCAGAAGCCTTGGGGGACACTGTGCACCTGGGCGGGGCCTGGAGAAGGCCAGCCGTGTCCCCAGCGCCCAGCTGGCCGGGGTGAGGCTGACACCGAGCTGGACCCCTGACCCTGTGCCCCGCTTACCTCTCCGCCCCGGCCCCAGTTTACAGTCGCTGCCCCCGAGAGCTGCCTCTAACCATGGGGAGCCCTCCTCGCCTCCCTTCCTCTCACCCTCCAGCTGGCATCCAGGCTGAGACGGGGCTCAAAGATGACAAAGTCAGGGAGGATGGGTGCCCCTGGCCTCCCCAAGCTGCACCAAATCAGAGCCCCCCAAACACCCCTTCCCCACTGTGCCCCTACCAGATCTTGGCCCTCCAGGGTCCCTCCACCTCACCTACCATCCTTCCCTGTCACCAGGTTCTGAAATCCCCAGCCTCCAAGGTCAGCCTCCTCCAGGGGAGCTGCTACGGGTTGAACTGTGTCCCCCAAAAAGATATGTTGAAGCTCTAACCCCCACTACCTGTAATCGTGACCTTATTTGGAAATAGGGTCATCAAATTACAATGAGACCCTAATCCAACATGACTGGGGTCCTTCCTTATAGCATTTGGACACAGACATTCACAGAGGGAAGGTGGCCACGTGAAGACAGGGGCAGAGATGGGAGCGACGCAGCCATAAGCAAGAGGAACACAAGGGTTGCGGCAGGAGAGCCAGGCGACACTGTCCCTCAGAGCCTCTAGCACAGCGGTTCTCAACCTTCTGGCCCTTTAAATACAGTTCCTCATGTTGTGACCCAACCATAAAATTATTTTCGTTGCTACTTCATAACTGTAATGTTGCTACTGTTATGAATCGTAATGTAAATATCTGATATGCAGGATAGTCTTAGGCGACCCCTGTGAAAGGGTCGTTCGACCACCAAAGGGCCTCATGTTGTGACCCAACCATAAAATTATTTTCGTTGCTACTTCATAACTGTAATGTTGCTACTGTGATGAATCGTAATGTAAATATCTGATATGCAGGATGGTCTTAGGCGACCCCTGTGAAAGGGTCGTTCGACCGCCAAAGGGGTTGCGACCCACAGGTTGAGAACCGCTGCTCTAGAACGAGCCCCCTCTGCCCACACCTCGACCTTGGACTCTGGCCTCCGGAACTGTGAGAGGATAAAGTTCTATTGGCTTAAGCCACCCGGTTTGTGCTACTTTGTCACGGCTGCTACAAGAAACTGATACAGAAGCCTTTCCATTCCCTCCGAGAGGGAGCTGTGGCCCCCACTGCACACCGCCCCACCCCAGACGGGTGTATGCATTTCAGTGTCCAGAAATAAAGACTGATGCTGCAGCTGCGCCTGTTCATGTACATACCGTCTACGATGGCTTTCCTGCTACAACAGCCGCGACAGAGACCACTATGTACGCTCAGGCCCTTTACAGAGGACCATGCAGGCCCGGAGTCAGGCCAGGTGGCTCCATGGCATGTGCACCGCCCTCCCCCGCCCCACCAGGCACACATCCCCACCCGGCCCCGCCCCAGCTTCCATGGCTGGTGAATCAGAGGCCGATCCCATCCTGCCTCTGCCTCCTCAACAACACAGATGCTGTCCCCGCAGTCCCCACCCTGTGTCCCCAATATCCCAGATGCTATTCCCACGGCCCCAGGATGGCCCCCCTTCCCATACCTCCCCGATATCCCAGATGCTCACCCCACGGCCTCCCCAGGATGACCCCATCTCTCCCCTGCTTCCCTGATAGCAAAGATGCTGTGCCCCTTCCAACATCCCCCCCGGAAGACCCCACCCGCCCGCTTCCTGATATCATGGGTGCTGCCCCCGCAACAGGAGGGCTGTGGGGGGCGGGCTCAGTACCTCAGCGCAGGTGCCCATGTAGTTGTAGATGCTGAGCGGGATCTTGACCTGCTCCCCGCGGACCACCTGGGGGGGCAGCGTGAAGTCCACAAAGAAGGGCTTGAAGGTCTTCAGCAAGGAGGGCGTGGCGATGCCCAGGCCCCACGCCGAGGACAGACCCACAGCCTCGCCCACCCAGCTGGTGATGGAGTCGGGGACCTGCACACGGAACGTCTCCTCGCCAGACGGGTCGCTGCGGAAAGACGGACAACCTGTGGGCCCTTCTCCGGGGCCAGGCTGCAGCGGCGAGGTGGGGACAGATGATTCGAGCCACAGGGCCCTAGCCCAGGGAGGCACCCCATGCAGCTGGGAGAGAATCATTTAAGACACCATGAGCGTGTGACAGCAGAGGACGGCCCTCTGCCCCGACTCGCTGTGATCAGAAATCTGAATGGCTCTCAGGACGAGAGCCCATAGGGACACAGGCCCCCAAATTACGGGTTCAGAGGTACAAACTTTAGCAGTGCATGCTCCGCCCAGTTTAGGGGGGAAGAGGGGACCAGTCACTTAGGGCATGCTGTGAGTCCCAGAAAGGTGTGTGCACGTCCTGACCCCTGTACCTGTGAATGTGGCCTTATTGGGAAACAGGTCTTTGCAGATGTTAACATGAGGTCATGCTGGGTTAAGTGGTCCCTAACCCAATAGCAGGTGTCCTTATAAGAAGGAAATTCTGATACAGAGCGGGAAAGGCCATGGGGAGACAAGGCAGACACGGGCAGAGGGCCATGGGGAGACAGAGGCAGACACTGGGGTGATGTGGCCTCGAGCCAAGGACACCTAGAGCCCCAGAAGCTGGAAGAGACAGTGAAGGATCCTCCCCCAGAACCCCCGGAGGGAGCTCAGCCCTGCCGAAGCCTTGCTCTCCGACTTCTGGCCTCCAGACCTGAGATAATAAGTTTCTATTGTTTTAAGCCCCCGGCTTATGATCATGTGTTACTGCAGACCCAGGAAACTGATACCGTAACCGCCCCCAAAGGAAAGAAAGAACATAAAAAGCCTTACCAACAATTTTTAAATTGATCACATGACACAACAATATTTGGGGCATATGTAAAATACGTAATTCAAACGAACTCCACCTGTTTCTTTTTACCCCTCTGACATGGCACTAGGCCAGTGATGGCGAACCTTTTGAGTTCGGCATGTCAGCATTTTTAAAAACCCTAACTTAACTCTGGTGCCGTGTCACATATAGAAATTTTTTTATATTTGCAACCATAGTAAAACAAAGACTTATATTTTTGATATTTATTTTATATATTTAAATGCCATTTAACAAAGAAAAATCAACCAAAAAAATGAGTTCGCGTGTCACCTCTGACCCACGTGTCATAGGTTCGCCATCACTGCACTAGGAGGTTTGAAATTACATATCAGACAGCACTGCTCAAACCCGCCCCAGATCCTCCCTGCCCCCGCCAGGGGCACGCTGATCGCTCTAGGATGGCTCTGGGGACAAACCCTATTGTCTCCTTTGCGGTTCCAGGATGTCCTTTGGCGATTTGCCTTGGCATCTGGTGCAAAAGAGCTCGTTGGAAAATAAAACCTTTAACCCGAGGAGAAGCCTGAGAACGGAAGCCGGAACCGCACCTGGGCTGGCAGGGGCCAGACTGCTGCTCCTCACCTGCCCGTCCACCTCTGTCCACTTCCGGAGCCTGACCCAGCTGGGCCTCGCGGGGCAGCCAGACACCCCAGGCTGCAGCTTGCAGAGACCACACTGCCCGTCAGGCCCCGCAGTGCCTGCGAACCTATCGTCCCTTCTGTGAGGGTCACACGCTGAAGCCCAGCCTCTTCCCAGCTGGCAGAACGTTCATGGCTTCGTATGGTCACAGCCAACAGAGGGGGAGGGAGCACCTCAAATCTCAAGTCTCAAATCCCTGGTTGCAACCCTGTGTGGCTCTCCACATTCCCCACCACAGCCCATGCTGCCTTCACCCCCACACACCCCCTCCCCTAGGCCCTCCCAGCTCACTCCAACCTGTGGGAACACACCACCCCTCCTCGCCCCCAGCTCTTGTCCACGCCGGTCCTGCCACCTGGACACCTTCCCTTTCTTGTTTGTCCATCTTGTGGGACTCAGCTCGGGCTCCACCTGCCCTGGGCGCCTCTCCAGCTTCTCCAAAGGGCTCCTCTTCCGCCTCTGGAGCCCCGTGCCCAGCCCGTCATGAGAACCTGAAGCTTCGGTAGGATTGGTGCCAGGACTGGTACCACATCACCCCTTGTCTTGGTACCATTCCCGGCACCAAAAACATCACCTAGCACCCAGAAAGCAGGTACATAACTGAGTGATGATGGCCAGACAGCGCATCTTAAAGTCTGGGGTCCCAGAGCAAAATGCAATCATCTGATCTATTCTGACCAGGAGTTAAGCCTTCCCACAATGGGCACACACACATCAGTGGAAGCAGCCCGGGGAACCCTGGCGGCAAGCTCGGTTCTGCACGGAGCGCATGCCATGTGCCTGGTGCCACCTCATGCCTAGAAGAGGGACCTGGCTCAGGAGGCGGCCCCCCGATGGCCCGGGGTCTGAATTTTCAGGCCACACTGGCTTCTCAGGGCAGCCACCACTACCTTCTGCTAGTGCCATCGGGGTCTCATACTGAGCATTGCAAGAAAAAAGCCGATGGCATCCGGCAGGAATTTGCCAGGGCACTGCTGCTTCAAGAACTAAAAGGAGGAAACGGTGGGAAGGAAATGTGCTGAGAAAAGCAGCCTGTTTTTTGGGCAGGAGTCCGAGTCCCCTGAGGAGTGAGGCGGAGGTAGGTGGGGTCGAGTTCATGTTCCAGGGAACTGTAATCGTTTTAATGGGCTCGTTATGCAAACAGGGCGGATAGAGTTACCCCAAGAGGGGGCGGTGAGAGGCACAGAGCCCTTACATTTTAAATGTCATGGGCAGATGTCAGAGGCTGCAGCAGGATTCAGGGCTGACTTCATGGCTTTGGGTTTTATGTGTTAGAAAAAGATGCCCCAGGTCTCACTCAGATGTGGGTGTCGAGCTGCAGGCGAACCCCCTGGGGACCACCTGGACTTATGTGAATGCCTCGGCGCGGCCCACAGAGACGGCGAAGGAAGGGAGTCTTCCTGTACCTGATGTTGAGACAGTGCCAAACCCAGGTTTCCGGGAAGAAGGTCCGTCTCCTCTTCTCTGCTCTATGGGGGGGAAAAAGAAGTAATTAAAGTTTCATTGTCATAACTTCATTCTGTTACCTGGCAGGTTAGCATTCTACTCCATTAGGACGTAACAGGTTAATTCTCTGACTCAGCAGGGCTAACGTTCTACTTGATTAGGGCTAGAAGTGAGGCATCGAAGGCTTGGCAGAGTCACCTTAAAATGAGAGCGCTTCAATTCTGCATTTAGAAGGTAAGCGGGGCGCAGGGACGACCCCAGACCCTCCCCTTGGGCTCGCCCTGTTTTTCTGCAGCATCGCATGGAGCTCTTCCCCGCCCCAACCACTCCCGCTTCCTCAGAGCGCCTTTCCTCCTCGGTCATCCTCAGAAGCCTCACAGTCCACCTTCTCAGGGGGCTGAACCTTCACTTAAAAATAACGAGAAGCCCAACTCGAAATTTAGCAAAACGGCTCAGAATTAAAAAATGGTCACATTCTTTCAACCTGCAATACCTCTCCTGGGAATGCACCCTGGAAATACCCACAAACACCTGTGCCAGACAGACAAGATGGAGCAGTTCCTGGCAGCCCTGTGAGAATTAGCAAACAGCTGGACTCTCCACCAGCAGGGGGCTGGTTAATCACATGACACCACACCCACACAGCAGAACATTATATGTCCGTGAAAAAGAGAGAGATAAGCATATACCGTATGGATGGGTAGGGACTGTCTCCAAGACTTACTGTTGACTTAAAAAAGGGAGGTACAATCAGTATTATAGTCTTCTCCCATTTATGTTTTTTTTTAATCCTTATATATGCACCCCAAATTCTAGAAGGGTATCTAAGAAATTACCGGCCATAGTTGTCTCTAAAAAGGGAATAAGAGACTCTGGAGATGGGAGACTTCTGCTTCACTGTATAACCTTTCATACTGTTTGAAAAAATTTTAACCACAGGCACATGGTTGAAAAAACATCCTGTCCTCAGATTAAGAATGTTGCCCTAGCCGGCTTGGCTTAGTGGATAGAGCGTCGGCCTGCAGACTGAAGGGTCGTGGGTTTGATTCTGGTCAAGGGCATGTGCCTGGGTTTCGGCTCAATCCCCAGTAGGGGGTGTGATGGAGGCAGCTGATGAATGATTCTCTCTCATCATTGATATGTCTCTCTCTCTTCCTCTCTGAAAACAACAAAAAAAAAAAAAAGAATGTTATCCAATTACAAAAAGGCACAGAACACCTGCTTTTTAAGGCATTTCCTGTGCCTTTTGCATTGGGATTTACAGTTATCCTTTTGTGGTTTTGGGGTTCAGAAGGCTGCTTCCAGGCCAAGCTTTCGAGGCCCCTGGGGCAGTGGCTGACTGGTGGAGCCTGAGGGGCAGGTACTCGCCTCCCTCAACCAAACCACATCCCAGAAATGCCTCTGTGTGCATCCAAACGACCACAGGAGGAGCCTGGTCTGCCACGCCCTGATTTGGAATTTGGAAGCTAAGATCCTGTGGGCCTGCCCTACTCCTGCTAAATGAGTGGCCCAGGCAGGAAGAACCCAGGGGACCCAGGCATCCAGCAGCCACTGCAGAGGGGGCTAGCGCATTGGGAAGGCTCTCAGTTTAGGCAGAGGAAGCTTGAAGGGTGAAGAGGGCTTTCATGGGTAGGCCCACCAGGGTGGAAGGCCCTCTGGTCCATTTCTGGTTCAGAAAAAGGGCTGAGGAGCCTGGGGCCCATCCTCAGGGTCTCTGGAGAGACCCAGATACTGAGGGACTGCTGACTACATCACCCCATTCCTGGCCCCCTTTGGCTGTGTGCCCTCTCTCAGAGGAAGAGGTGGGAAAGAGGACATCCAAGGCTTGCCTCCCCTGTCTCAGCTCATATGCCCTTAAATCCAGAGAGTGGGGAGGCAAAGTCTTCAGGGCACCCTTCCCCTTCCCAAGCTGGCTGGCTGACCTGTGATTGAGAACCTAGTGGCAGAAGCAAAGGAATGAAGAGGGTGGGAGAAAAAATAGGTAGGCAATAGGGGAGCAGAAAGGAAGGGACAAAGGGGGAAACAGGAGAGAAGAGAAAACATCACCTCCAGTATAACAAAGGTTTCCATAACTCCAGGGACAAAGCCACAAATCTGAGGAAGATATGTGAATGCCTCTCTCTCAATAACTGATAAATTAGCAAACAAACAAACAAAAGATGAGTAAGGATATGGAGGATCTGGATATCACCATCAGTAGACTTGACCAAAAGTATGCCTAGAGAGCCCTATACCCAATGATAGGGGTTAGGATATTCAAATAGACATGAGCATTTACAAACACTGGCAATATAGTCAGTCTCCAAAATAAAAACCAGACAATGGATATCATACAGACCATGCTCACTGGATATGATTCACATTTGAAAAAAATTTACAAAACACATAAAAAAATCACTTGAAATTTTTAAAAACTTCTGGACAATTCACAGCTCAGAAAGGGAATATTCTGAGCTATAATGAAAACACGTACAGAACAATTCAGGTGCAGCCAAAGCAGTACTCTGAGGGAAATTCATAGCCTTCAAAAAGCTTAAACATTTAGAGTTAAAATAAGAAAGATTGAAAAGTAATTATTTGGTTTCAACTTGAGAAGGTAGAGATTTTGAGAGGAAGGAGGAAGAGAAAGAAAAGGAAGCAAGGGAAAGAGAAAGGGTAATAGAATTTTCTAAGCAGAGTCTCTGGGAGATGGAGGATCAAGCCCCAGCTTCCCTCCCTGTCCTGATCCTTCTCTCCTGATGGATCTTCCTCTCTCTACAACCCCAACCCATGCACTGGGATGTGGCTAAAAACGGGGAAGGGTAGAGCTGAATACTCAGTGCCCAGCCCACTAGGTAAGTGGTGATTTTGTCCCCAAGAGGACAATGGGTGATGCCTGAAGACATTTGTGCTTGTCACAACTGGGGGAAATTGATGCTACGGCCATCAGATGGGTGGAGGCCAGGATGCTACTCAACACCCTACAGTGCATGGGTCAGCCTCACCACAAAGAATGATCTGGCCCCAGCCTTTTTTTAAATTTTTTATTAGTTTTTCTTTTTCTTTTTTGGCCACAGCCTTAGATGTCAACAGGGTGAAGTTAGAAAACCCTGCTCGAGGCAGCGGCAATTACCTGGGAGGCTGCCTGGAGGATGCCACTGCCACCAGGCTCCCTGTGTGGGGTTGGAAGGTGTGGACAGCCTCGTCGGTGTATAGGCCACCATCCTGCCGGTGGTTCAGGCTCACCAGGTCAGTCATCACCACCAGTCCTGTTTCCTAGACAACAGACAACAAGAGACCCACAGCGGGGAAGTGGATGTAATGTCCCCAACAGTTGTCATCACCCTGAGGCCACTGACCCAACATTGCTTCTGTGTCATGGCCCTGCCTGCAGCAGGCTTGGTGACATGGACTGGGGGGGGGGTCATGGCACCCAGTGACCATCCAGGACAGAACAGAGGAGAGGCCAATACATTTGTGGCTCAGACGGGCAAATCCACAGAGACAGAGAGCAGATTGGTGGTTGCCAGGGGTGGGGAAGGGGAAATGGGGAGTGACTGCTAATGGAGATGGGGTTTCCTTTTGGGGTGATGGGAATGGTTTGGTACTAGATAGAGGTAGTGGTTGCATGGCATTGCAAATACACTAAAGACCAATGAATTGTTCACTTTGAAATGGTTCAATTTCCTGTTGTGTGACTTTCACACACACACACAAAATCAATTGTTGTAGAGTCTGATCCAGACCAAGGGCCAGTGACTGTCACAATTATCTTCCTCACTCTGCTAATTATTGGGACAACTGGACTGAGGGGAAGCCCCGTCCTGGACTGGCCGACTCTGCTTTGTGCACAGAAATGCAAACCTAGTTACTCTGACTCAGAAACAGCACCTCCTAATTCCCAAAGCTTTCAGGACCCAGGGGTTCAAATCGCCCGGAATTCAACAATCATGCAATTGAAACTTCATTTGTTCCAACATAGGTCTACAGGTATAGAGAGATATGTAATAAATATATTTTAGCTAACATAGCAAAATAAGTCATTTATTCAAATATACTATATATGTTTTATATATGTAGTTTTTAAGATAATCTTTAAAACTATTACAGCAAAAGGTTAATTGTGAGATCTAGGTGGTAGGTATACAGGTATTTATAAATTTGTTCAACTTTTCCAAATGTATGGAAAATTCCATAGTAAAAACCGTGTGTGTGTGTGGGGGGGGGTGCCTTTTTAAAACGGGAAGAAAAGCACCTTCAGATGGGACATGCATTCGAGTGGAGACCATGGGCATGTAAGGTGGGCTCCCAGCCTGACCTAGACTGACAGACCTAGACTGACACTTGTACACATGGCGGCTGCCGGCACCAGCCCCGCCCTTGTAGGCAGGAAGGAGAGGGGTGGACAGGAGCTACAGATGTCATTGCCTGAGCCCACCACCTGAGAACACAGCCACCTACTCCCCATGTGAAGGTTTTCCTGAACATCACTGCTCCCTATCAAGTTCAAGTTGTCAGTCCGTGCTGAGAACCGTTCTGCTCTCATCTGCCTTGCACACTGGCGGAGAC